ACACAAACACACACACACACAAAATAGAGCGAAACACCAACGTCAAAGACCTGGGAGTGATCATGTCGGAGGATCTCACCTTCAAGGACCATAACATTGTATCAATCGCATCTGCTAGAAAAATGACAGGATGGATAATGAGAACCTTCAAAACTAGGGAGGCCAAGCCCATGATGACACTCTTCAGGTCACTTGTTCTATCTAGGCTGGAATATTGCTGCATACTAACAGCACCTTTCAAGGCAGGTGAAATTGCCGACCTAGAAAATGTACAGAGAACTTTCACGGCACGCATAACGGAGATAAAACACCTCAATTATTGGGAGCACTTGAGGTTCCTAAACCTGTATTCCCTGGAATGCAGGAGGGAGAGATACATGATTATATACACCTGGAAAATCCTAGAGGGACTAGTACCGAACTTGCACACGAAAATCACTCACTACGAAAGTAAAAGACTTGGCAGACGATGCACCATCCCCCCAATGAAAAGCAGGGGTGTCACTAGCACGTTAAGAGACCATACAATAAGTGTCAGGGGCCCGAGACTTTTCAACTGCCTCCCAGCACACATAAGGGGGATTACCAATAGACCCCTGGCAGTCTTCAAGCTGGCACTGGACAAGCACCTAAAGTCAGTTCCGGATCAGCCGGGCTGTGGCTCGTACGTTGGTTTGCGTGCAGCCAGCAGCAACAGCCTGGTTGATCAGGCTCTGATCCACCAGGATGCCTGGTCACAGACTGGGCCGCGGGGGCGTTGACCCCCGGAACTCTCTCCAGGTAAACTCCAGGTAAACACACACGCGCACACACACAAAGTAGGGGCGCCATTAGTAAACTAAGAGAAAACGCCATAAGTGTCCGGGGCCCAAGACTTCAACAGCCTCCCACCATCAATAAGGGGAAATACCAATAGTTCTCTGGCTGCCTTCAAGACCCCTGGCTGCCTTCAAGACCCTTGGCTGCCTTCAAGACCCCTGGCCGCCTTCAAGACCCCTGGCTGCCTTCAAGACCCCTGGCTGCCTTCAAGACCCCTGGCTGCCTTCAAGACCCTTGGCTGCCTTCAAGGCCCTTGGCTGCCTTCAAGAAAGAGCTGGACAGATACTTAAGCAAAGGTATAATAAAGCACACGGTTCAGGGAGTGACCTAGTAGCGACCAGTGAAGAGGCGGGGCCAGGAGCTAGGACTCGACCCCTGCAACCTCAACTAGGTGAGTACACACACACGCACACGATGATGCAGCAAGAGTTGACCTGGTATTCACCTTTAGTAGTTCGGACATCGAGGATATCATGTATGAAAGGCCCCTAGGAGCTAGTGATCATGTGGTTCTGTGCTTTGACTACATAGTTGAGCTACAAGTGGAGAGAGTAGCAGGAATAGGATGGGAAAAACCGAACTACAAAAGGGGGGACTACACAGGCATGAGGAACTTCCTGCAAGACGTTCAGTGGGGGAGAGAACTGGCAGGAAAACCATTACAAGAAATGATGGACTATGTGACAACAAAATGCAATGAGGCAAAGGAGAGGTTTGTTCCCAAGGGAAACAGAAATAATGGGAAGACCAGAACGAGTCCTTGGTTCACCCAAAGGTGTAGGGAGGCAAAAACTAGGTGTACTAGAGAATGGAAAAGGTACAAAAGACAAAGGACGCAGGAAAATAAAGAGAATAGCCGGAAAGCCAGAAACGAATATGCACAGATAAGAAGGAAGGCTCAACGACAATATGAAAATGACATAGCATCGAAAGTCAAGTCTGACCCGCTGTTGTACAGCCACATCAGGAGGAGAACAACAGTCAAGGACCAGGTAATCAGACTGAAGAAGGATGATGGGGAGTTCACAAGAAACGACCGAGAGGTATGCGAGGAGCTCAACATGAGATTTAAAGAAGTATTTACAGTGGAAATTGGTAGGACTCCATGAAATCAGAACAGGGAGGTACACCAACAAGTGCTGGATGAGGTACACAAAACTGAGGAGGAGGTGAAGAAGCTGCTATGTGAACTTGACACCTCAAAGGTGGTGGGACCAGACAACATCTCTCTGTGGGTCCTTAGAGAGGGAGCAGAGATGCTGTGTGTGCCACTAACAAAGATCTTCAATGCATCCATTGAAACTGGGCAACTCCCTGAGGTATGGAAGATGGCAATGTTGTCCCAACTTTTAAAAAAGGAGACAGACATGAGGCATTAAACTACAGACCTGTGTCACTAACGTGTATAGTATGCAAAGTCATGGAGAAAATCATCAGGAGGAGAGTGGTGGAGCACCTGGAAAGAAACAAGTGTATAATCTACAACCAGCACGGTTTCAGGGAAGGAAAATCCTGTGTCACAAACCTACTAGAGTTTTATGACAAGGTGACAGAAGTAAGACAAGAGAGAGGGGTGGATAGACTGCATTTTTTTGGACTGCAAGAAGGCCTTCGACACAGTTCCTCACAAGAGGTTACTGTAAAAGCTAGAGGATCAGGCACACATAATAGGAAAGGCACTGCAATGGATCAGAGAATACCTGACAGGGAGGCAACAACGAGTCATGGTACGTAACGAGGCGTCAGAGTGGGCGCCTGTGACAAGTGGGGTTCCACAGGGGTCAGTCCTAGAACCTGTGCTGTTTTTGGTACATGTGAATGACATAAAGGAAGGGATAGACTCAGAAGTGTCCTTGCTTGCAGACGATGTGAAGTTAATGAGGAGAATCAAATCGGATGAGGATTAGGCAGGACTACAAAGGGACCTGGACAGGCTACAAGCCTGGTCCAGCAACTGGCTCCTTGAGTTTAACCCTGCCAAGTGCAAAGTCATGAAGATTGGGGAAGGGCAAAGAAGACCGCAGACACAATATAGTTTAGATGGCCAAAGACTGCAAACCTCACTCAAGGAAAAAGATCTGGGAGTGAGTATAACACCGAGCATATCTCCTGAGGCGCACATCAATCAGATAACTGCTGCAGCATACAGGCGCCTGGCAAACCTACGGATAGCGTTCCGATACCTCAGTAAGGATTCGTTCAAGACTCTGTATACCATTTACGTCAGGCCCATACTGGAGTATGCAGCACCAGTTTGGAATCCACACCTGGTCAAGCACGTCAAGAAATTAGAGAAAGTGCAAAGGTTTGCAACAAGACTAGTCCCAGAGCTACGGGGATTGTCCTACGAAGAAAGGTTGAGGGAAATCGGCCTGACGACACTGGAGGCCAGGAGGGTCAGGGGAGACATGATAACGACATATAAAATACTGCGTGGAATAGACAAGGTTCAAAGTTTACTCTATAAAGATTACAATGTTGAATTTACAGAATTTGGTTGTTGTGTGGTTTACATGTAGTTAAATAATGATTACAGAGTGTACCACTAGAACGCCTAGCATGGCAAGGCATTTCGGGCAGACTTAGTTTAATTCTTTATTTTAAAATATTACAAATTATGAGGTAAGTTGGTATTATGGCTAAGTGACTAAATACTAGTTTGTGAGTTTAGCAATGTGAATGCTTTTGTTTTGGCACAGTACATAGTTTCAGTATTGGAGTATCACAGGATTCATTATTTTAAGATTGAGATTAATATTTCTGTTTATGGTCAAATGAGTGAGTGAGTGTAAGTGTGAACCACCAGGTGGTATTCGTGTAGTTAGTTGACGGGGTGTATCAGGGAGATAAGATGTTTTCTAATGGTAGTTTTGAAGGTGATGAATGTGTCTGCAGTTCTAGAGTTCTCAGGTAGGGTGTTCCAGATTTTAGGGCCTTTGACATACATTGAATTTTTGTAAAGGTTTAGTCGGACACGGGGAATGTCGTAGAGATGTTTGTGTCTGGTGTTATGCCTGTGGGTTCTGTCACAACTATCAAGAAAGCGTTTTAGGTCAAGGTTGATATTAGAGTTTAAGGCCCTGTAGATATAGATTGCACAGTAGTAAGTGTGGATGTACTGGACTGGGAGTAAGTTTAGATCTATGAAGAGTGGGGGGGGTGTTGCCAGGGATGGGATTTAGTGATTAATCTTACTGCAGCTTTTTGTTGGGTTATTATTGGCTTTAGGTGTGTTGCTGCAGTTGATCCCCAAGCACAAATAGCATAGGTGAGGTATGGATAAATAAGTGAGTGGTATAGTGTGAGAAGGGCATTTTGCGGCACGTAGTATCGTATCCTGGAGAGGATCCCAACCGTTTTGGATACTTTTTTGGTTATATGCTGGATATGGGTGCTGAAATTCAGGTTGTTGTCAAGGTATAGGCCTAGGAATTTGCCCTCATTATGTCTGGTAATTATGTCTGGTGGACAAAGACGGGATGTTCCAGAGATGGGACACAGACACAAGAGGTCACAATTGGAAGTTGAAGACTCAGATGAATCAAAGGGATGTTAGGAAGTATTTCTTCAGTCATAGAGTAGTCAGGCCATGGAATAGCCTAGAAAGTGATGTGGTGGAGGCAGGAACCATACATAGTTTTAAGGCGAGGTATGATAGAGCTCATGGAGCAGGGAGAGAGAGGACCTAGTAGCAATCAGCGAAGAGGCGGGGCCAGGAGCTGTGAATCGACCCCTGCAACCACAAGTAGGAGAGTACACACACACACACAAACATACACACAACACACGCTAAACCCGTTGGGGTCCTCGTATATAGAAGCCCTGAGGGTTGATCCAAAGGCAAGATCGCTCCAGTACCTTGGATCAAGAGCCCTCGCCAGTCTGACCCTCACCCGTGCCCGGGATTTAACCCGGGTCCTTCCCTTCTCAACCAAGACTTACAGAATCCCACGGATGCAAGAGGAAGCGGTAAACCCGCATGTGTGCAGTACCTCGCCTGGGGGGAATCAATCAGGTTTGATCCAAGGCAGTGGAGAGCAGCTCCACTGCCTTGGATCAAAGCTCCAGTAGCATTATCACGTAAACCACATAAATGTAATAATTAAGATATTTTTTCCGTCACAGCGCCATTATTACACTAAACACGACGTGCTAAACCCGCACGGGTCACGGATTTTTACCTAATATTCGTATTAAGGTTGAATTTTGGAGGAGCTGCGTACGTATACACCCACTTTCTCTGACGTCTGGTGAGCTACTGCTGTTGCTGCCGCTCACTCCCGGCACCAACACCTCTCACCTCGCTGCCGCTCGTACGATAAACTCTCAATTAACACTTTCACCAGGTAGCGATTAAACCCGTAGGGGGCCATATACTCCCTAGACAACGGAAAACAGTCAGGTTTAATCCGAGGAAGGGTAGTGCATCTCCAGTTCCTCAAACCAAGAGCCTTTCACATGGATCAACATAAACCCCTCGCTGGTGCTGCCAAACATACGATCAACATTTCTCATTTATCCCTATAATCATTTACGCTTTTATTATCATTAATCATAATAATAATTATCACTTATATTCATGAGAGAGCGTTAAGCCAGAAGGGGTAAAAAACTCGAAATTAGGCTAATGTTTTGAGTTCTGCGCCTCTACGGTGGAAACGTTCTCTTATTTTTCTATACTAAATATATACACATTAATACACCTTCCAGTGTATATACACTGAGATATACAATACACCTCCCTGTGTATATACACTGAAATATACACCTCTGTGTATATACACTGATATACACCTCCCAGTGTATATACACTGATATACACCTCCCAGTGTATATACACTGATATACACCTCCCAGTGTATATACACTGATATACACCTCCCAGTGTATATACACTGATATACACCTCCCAGTGTATATACACTGATATACACCTCCCAGTGTATATACACTGATATACACCTCCCAGTGTATATACACTGATATACACCTCCCAGTGTATATACACTGATATACACCTCCCAGTGTATATACACTGAGACATACACCTCTCAGTGTATATACACTGAGATATACACCTCCCATTGTATATACACTGAGACATACACCTCTCAGTGTATATACACTGAGATATACACCTCTCAGTGTATATACACTGAGACATACACCTCTCAGTGTATATACACTGAGGTATACACCTCTCAGTGTATGTATACTGAGATATACACCTCCCAGTGTACATATACTGAGATATACACCTTTGTGTATATATACTGAGATATACTCCTCTCAGTGCATACACACTGAGATATACACCTCCCAGTGTATATATACTGAGATATACATCTCCCAGTGTATATATACTGACATATACATCTCCCAGTGTATATATACTGATATACACGTCTCAGTGTATACACACTGAGATATACACCTCCCATATATATATATATATATATATATATATATATAATATATATATATATATATATATATATATATATTAATATAATATTGATATACCTCTCAGTGTATATACACTGAGATATACACCTCTCAGTATATATACACTGAGATATACACCCCTCAGTGTATATATACTGAGATATACACCTCCAAGTGTATATATACCGAGATATACAACTCCCAGTGTATATATACTGAGATACACCTCAGTGTATATCCATTGAGATATACACCCTCCAGTGAATTGATAATGATATACTCCTCTGTGTATATACACTGACATATACACTTCCCAGTGTATATGAGACATACATCTCCCAGTGTATATATGCTGAGATAAAGACCTCCCAGTGTATATATATTGAGATACACACCCTCCAGCATATATATAATGATATATACCTCACTGTGTATATACACTGAGATGTTCACCTCATTGTCTATATACACTGAGATATACACCTCAGTGTATATACACTGAGATATACACTTGTGTATATACACTGAGATATACACCTCAGTGTATATACAGTGAGATATACACCTCATTCTGTACATACACCTTCCAGTGTATAAACACTGAGAGATATACACTGTGTATATGCACTGAAAGACATACACTTGTCACCCGTCTCTGCATACACAACATGTAGAAATACACTTGTATATGTGTATATTTGCTCAATAATAACACACTGGTCCTGAAATTCAGAAGATTGTATATTCCGACCTTTATCTAAGGTCCTCTTCATCAGATGAGAATGTCAAAAAGGGGTCAAAATAGACTGATCAGTCAATCTCCCACTTTTCGTGTCTATCAGGGTTATAATTTAGCACTGACAGGTGTTCACTAGACTTTTATCATACACATACATGTATATTTGTATAGTATGTACTTTCTAAATCAGTTCAAAATCAATTTGAACTCACAGAACAGGTTTGGTTTGAACCCCAGGCTGGTGTTATTATGATGTCGCAAGGCAGTGGAACCCTTATTAGGGTGGAGACTGGACGGTACAGGGATTAAGATTTCGTTCGGATTTTTAACCCCGGAGGGTTAGCCACCCAGGATAACCCAAGAAAGTCAGTGCGTCATTGAGGACTGTCTAACTTATTTCCATTGGGGTCCTTAATCTTGTCCCCCAGGATGCGACCCACACCAGTCGACTAACACCCAGGTACCTATTTGCTGCTAGGTGAACAGGACAACAGGTGTAAGGAAACGTGTCGAAATGTTTCCACCCGCCGGGAATCGAACCCGGGCCCTCCGTGTGTGAAGCGGGAGCTTTAGCCACCAGGCCACCGGGCCACCGAGGATACCATGGTGTATAGTGAACCCTGGATATAACAGACCAATAACGTGTGTCCGCTATATCGGAATGATGGTAATATGCAGCTAAGTTCAAAATATCCGAAGCTGAACCATTGTGTAATTTTAAAAGATTAGACAAATTTTTTGTTAGACAAATTTTTGAAGATGAGACAAAATTTTCTGGCCATCTATTTGCAAGCGGCAGTCCATCTATCCAGTAGACTATGTCTATTGTATCCATCACTTCCATACAACAATGTATAAAGTGGACACCTCATCCGAAATATTAGTCAGTCTTATGCAGCTTACACTGTATACAGTAGTGTCCTGGTATCCCTAGGTGGTACCTACCAAGAACTACCATGGACAGTAGTGAAGACTATATACATGTATATCACTCTTTGTTTACATACATACCTATGGTAATGCAGGGATTCATCTACTATGACACTAATGAAGCCTAAGCTTAAGGGCCCCTAATCTCAGAGGGGCCCCAGAAGTGACTGTAGTCCACATTGCTTAATAATTCTGGGTCTACTGAATGAGAAGAAGTTGCAAAGGGGCCCCCATAACAGCTCAAGCTTCAGGGGTCCCCATAACAGTTCAAGCTTCAGGGGCCCCTCATAACAGTTCAAGCTTCAGGGACCTCCCATAACAGCTCAAGCTTCAGGGGTCCCCATAACAGTTCAAGCTTCAGGGACCCCAAATAACAGCTCAAGCTTCAGGGGCCCCCATAACAGCTCAAACTTCAGGGGTCCCCATAACAGCTCAAGCTTCAGGGGCCCCTCATAACAGTTCAAGCTTCAGGGACCCCCATAACAGTTCAAGCTTCAGGGGCCCCCATAACAGCTCAAGCTTCAGGGGCCCCTTGTAACAGTTCAAGCTTCAGGGGCTCCCATAACAGTTTGAGTTTCATGGGCCCCATAACAGTTCAAGCTTCAGGGACCCCATAACAGTTGAAGCTAATACACAATAACCCAGATATACGAGAAAGGAGCATACAATGTTTGGTCCAACTTGAACGATGTTTGGTCCAAGTTGGACCAAATGGAGAATTATCACTCTTTCACCGATGGGAAGCAGTTCACGGCTTCCCATCAGACTTTGGACAACTGTCACCATCACTACTTTTGTGTTTTAGGGCTATTATTAGGCTAAATTAAGATCATTATCACTACTTTTGTGTTTTAGGGCCATTATTATGAGTGTTTGCATTGCTATTGGGCCGTGCGGACGTGCTGCGCAGTAGCTCCTGATTGAGTTGGCTTTTGTGCAGCGGTGACGTGTACTTAGCTCTGTGAAGACCTGTTTGCGCGCTCTCTACGAATTGAAGCAAGATGCCCTCCATCGACCAACTTTACCAACAGCTTAAGGAAGAATTGAGGATGGAGAAGATGGAGATTCGGCGACTGACCGAGGAAAACAAGAAGATTCGTAGTAGTCCTCCTGTTTTGAGTCCTCAGGTCAAGAAGGGAAACTGGTCAGTGGCTGGACAGCAGGGAACGAAGTTGACGATCAAGAAGACGAATGGAAAGGTAGAAACGATGAAGAAGAAAGAGACTGCCGTGGAAACTGTTGTGGAAACATCTAATACATTCTCAGTGTTACCCGACGAATGTGAGTCGACTACTGGGAACATCACGACGAACGACACCAAGGAAGATAAGAATATTGTTGTTGTTGGGGATAGCCAAGTTAGGTATATGGATAGGGTGTTCTGCTTGAAGGACAGGAGTAGGAGACAGAGAGTTTGCTTTCCTGGGGCTGGGATGGAGGATATTGTTAGCCATCTGGATAAACATCTTGAGAGGTAATGGAGCAATCCTATTATCTGTCTCAGTGCTGGAGGCAACGATGTTGGCAGACGTAGGAGTGAAGACCTGATTAGCAGTATAGGTCAGCAATAGAAATAATTAGGAGTAAGGGTGGAACCCTGTCATATGTGGTATTTTGCCAAGGAGAGGAGTTGGAAATGAATGGTTGTCCAGGGCAATTGGTGTCAAATTGCTGGCTGGACAAATACTGTAAGGAAAATGCGGTAACATTCATTGACAACTGGGACCTCTTCTATGGCAGAAATGACATGTATGCCAGGGATGGGGTTCACTTATCTAGGTCTGGGGTGGTAGCACTGGCAACTGCAGTGGAGGGAGCAGTTAGGACTTTAAACTAGGAATAGTTAGTGGTATGGGTTTTGGCAGGAAAACAGTGAAGTCCCAGTGTAGTAATATTACGAGTTCTAGGGGAACTAGTAATAAGCAGAACGAGGTAGATATTGAAAAGCCAGGGACTTTGGGTGATAAGGACAGTAATAGGTTTAGCAGAAAAACAGAAATGAGCAGGAAGGGTAAAGAGAAAGGAGAGTCTTTCAATGTTTATTATGCTAATTGCCGTAGTGCTAGGAATAAGATGGACGAGTTGAGATTAGTTGCTAGTGCAGGTATTTGCCTAAACTGAGACGTGGTTTAATTCAAAAAGTCGGGACATGCCTGCAGAATGTCATATTCAGGGTTTTAAATTGTTCCAAGTAGATAGAAGTATCGGGAAGGGAGGTGGGGTGGCATTGTATGTCCGAGATCGCTTGAACTGTTGCATAAAAACGGGTATTAAGTCTGAAGTAACACATACAGAGTCTGTTTGGATAGAATTTTCAGAGGGGCATGAAAAACTGATTTTAGGAGTGATATACCATCCCCCAAACTTAGATAGGGACCAAGGGAGACTACTATGGGAGGAAATTGTTAAGGCCACAAGGCACGATAATGTAGTAATTCTAGGAGACTTTAACTTTAGTCATATTGATTGGAAATTTCTTGACTGGGAATTTAGAATCATATGACTTCTTAGAAGTAGTTCAGGATTGTTTTTTGAAGCAGTTTGTGACAGAACCTACAAGGGGAAATAACCTGCTTGACTTAGTTATGTCAAACAATGAATCCCTTGTTAATAATTTAGAAATTTCAGAGGAACTGGGTGCTAGTGACCACAAATCAATTACATTTAGCATTGAATGGAAGTACGATAGTAGCGATAACTCAGTAACAGTCCCAGATTTTCGCTTACCAGATTACGATGGGCTTAGAGAACACTTATCATCTGTTGACTGGGGTAACGAAGTGAGCTATCAATATGACAGTTTTCTGAACACTATACATGCTGCTCAAAGAACGTTTATCCCAGATAAAGAAATTAGATCAAATAGAAATGACCTAAAATGGATGAGTAATAGGCTCAAATATCTACTAGGGCATAAGAAAGGAATTTATAGGCGTATCAAAAGAGGTGAGGGTCATCTTATGAATCAGTATATTGACATTAAGAGGGACATTAAAAAGGGATAAGAAAAGCTAAAAGGGACTATGAAATTAAAGTTGCTAGGATTCTAAAACAACCCAAAAAGTTTTTTCCAGGTCTATAGAACAAAAGTTAGAGATAAGATAGGTCCCCTTAAAAATAACTATGGGCACCTTACTGACAAAGAGAATGAAATGTGCTCGATTTTAATAATTATTTTCTCTCAGTTTTACACAGGAAGACACTAACAATATTCCGGTAATTAATTTTTATAGTGGGCTAGAAGATGATAAATTATGTAACATCACAGTCACTAGTGAAATGATTGTGAAGCAGATAGACAGACTGAAGCAAAATAAGTCGCCAGGTCCTGATGAGGTTTTTTCAAGGTTCTTAAGGAATGCAAAATGGAACTCTGTGAACCATTAACAATATTTTTAATTTATCTCTTCAAACAGTTTAGTGTCTGATATGTGGAAGATGGCTAATGTAATTCCTATTTTTAAAACAGGGACAAGTCGTTACCGTCAAATTACCGCCAATAAGCCTGACCTCAATTGTAGGCAAATTACTAGTCAATTAAGCTGAGATTATAAGAAGCCATCTCGATAAGCATAGCTTAAATTAATGATACTCAGCATGGATTCACAAGAGGCCGGTCTTGTCTAACTAATTTATTAACTTTCTTCAGTAAAGCTTTTGGGGCTGTTGACCACGATAAAGAATTTGATATTATTTACTTAGATTTTAGTAAGGCTTTTGATAGAGTTCCGCACCATAGACTGTTAAAGAAAGTGGCAGCTCATGGCATTGGGGGAAAAGTGCTCTCGTGGATTGAGTCATGGCTCACTGACAGGAAGCATGTGTGTCCATAAATGGGGTTAATCCGAGTGGGGATCTGTAACAAGTGGCGTTCCACAGGGATCAGTCTTGGGCCCGTTGTTGTTTATAATATATATTAATGATCTTGATGAGGGAATTACTAGTGATATGAGCAAATTCGCCGATGACACAAAGATAGGTAGGATAATTGATTCAAACGTAGATGTTATGGAACTTCAGGAGGATTATAAAAACTCTATTTCTTGGTCAGAAAAAGTGGCAGATGCAGTTCAATGTAGATAAATGCAAGGTTCTGAAGCTTGGGAGTGCCCATAACCCTAGTACTTATAAGTTAAATGATGTAGAACTTAGCCACACAGATTGCGAAAAGGACTTGGGGTTATGGTGAGCAGCAACCTTAACCAAGACAGCAATGCCTAAGCGTACATAATAAGGCAAATAGATTACTGGGATTTATATCAAGAAGTGTAAGCAACAGAAGTCCAGAGGTCATACTGCAGCTTTATACATCATTATAAGGCCTCACCTAGATTATGCAGCTCAGTTCTGGTCTCCATATTACAGAATGGACATAAATTCGTTAGAAAAAAATTCAGCGTAGGATACTAAATTAATACATAGCATTAGAAATCTTCCTAATGAAGAAAGATTGAAGACTCTTAAGTTACATTCACTTGTTAGATGAAGAATGAGGGGGGACCTGATCGAAGTGTATAAGTGGAAGATAGTGTATTAATAAAGGGGATATTAATAAGGTCTTGAGGATGTCTCTCCAAGAGAGAACCTGCAGTAATGGATTTAAATAGATAAGTTTAGATTTAGAAAGGACATAGGAAAGTATTGGTTTGGAAATAGGGTAGTTGATGAGTGGAACAGTCTACCTAGTTTGGTTATTGAGGCTAGGACTTTGGGTAGTTTCAAATTTAGGTTGGATAAGTACATGAGTGGGAGGGGTTGGATTTGAGTGGGACTTTCACATCAGAGCTTATTTCTTGGGTGGCATTGAAAATTGGGTTGGGCAAATGTTTTGTTAGTGGGATGAATTGTAAAGGACATGCCTAGTATGGGCCAACAGGCCTCCTGCAGTGTTCTTCCTTTCTTATGTTCTTATGTTTAAATTAAGGTTTTTCTGGCCACAATAAACCAGGGAAACCTGACCCACGGATTTGAGGGTTCAACTGTTATTACAAAATCAAAAAACAAATAGGCTACACCAAACACAGGTTACAAAATATTTAGAGTATTACAGCATGAACGAAGTTACATTTTGTAATCGTACTGAAATACACAAGAGGCTGTGACTACAGGTGTATCCAGGCGATGGAACGAGGACACATTATCACCATATCACAAAATTCAAAATACAGGATGCTAGGATTACACAAAATACAAATTACAAAATATTTACAATATTACAGATGAATAAACTTAGATTTTGCAACTGTACCGAAATACACAAGAGAGGCTGCATGTCTGGGCAATGGAACGCAAACACAGTATCACCATACCATCACGAAATTTAAAATACAGAATGCTAGGATAATCACACAAAATATAGATTACAAAATATTTACAATATTGTAACTGTAATGAAATACACTAAAGACGGTGCAACTATGAGTGTGCCCGAATGATAGAATGCAGATACAGTATCACCATATCATCACAAAATTCAAAATCCAGGATGCTAGAATTACACAAAATGCAAATCACAAAATACTGACAATATCGCAATCCTAATAAAATACACAAGAGACGGTGCGACTGTTAGCATGCCCGAGCGATGGAACACAGACACGTGGCTACCACGGCCGCATGGGTGACTGCGTGGCATGTGTGAGTATCCAGGTGTTTTTCTCTTTCTTCTGCATGGCCATCTGTTTGTGGCGCGGCTTGAGGTTACACATGACATAGAGGCGACCCTGGCGCATAGTGTAGTAGCAACCTTGGCACCGGAGCCGCAGCCGACCCTTCTGCTTCATGCTGCGTGCCGGCACCAGTGACACACCAACTACCTGTTAATGTAATAATAATAATAATAATAATAATAATAATAATAATGATACAGTATTTGTCCTGCAGTATACAATAATACAGTATACAATAATATCTTAAGCTGAACTATCATAAAATTGAATATTTTAAGTTGAACCATTGTAAAGCTGAATATTTTACGTTGAACCATCGTAAAGTTGAATATTATATGGTGAATCATTGTAAAATCAAAATATTGTAAACTGACCCATCATAAAGTTGAATACTGCAAGTTGAACCACTGTAAAGTTGAAATATCATAAGTTGAACCATCATAAAGATGAATATTATAAGTCGAACCATCGTAAAGTCAAAACATAAGTTGAACCATCATAAAGTCAAAATATCACAAGTCAAACCATTGTAAAGTCAAAATATTGTAAGTCGAACCATCGTAAGTAGAGGAGCGCCTGTATATGTAGTGTATATTGTGTTTGTATATTGTGAATATTGAGCAAGTATAAACTACTGATGAGTGAGGGAGTGTCAGGGGTCATCCTAAGAAAGGATAGAGGAAGGGGGTAAAGGTGGTTTTATGTACAAGGGGCTTGGGCATCCAGCAGATGTGAACGGGGACAAATGGCTTTTAATTTTCCTGTACCCATTGCCTTTTTCCTTTCATTCCTCATTTCTATTCCCCTCTTAGGCTCTTTCAGTTCCTTCTCCAGGCTCTGTGTCTTTGGCTCAGCACCTGCAGTTAAGACTTGATGTGCTGTTGGAGTGCAAGCGAGGCAGTATTTCTGAAGGAATTCAGGGAAACCAGTTAGCCCGACCTGAGTCCTGGAGGTGGCAAGTACAGGAGCTATTTGCAGCTTTTAAGTGTAGTGTAGGTGTGCCTTTGGCAAGACAGCAATGGAGTGAATGATGATGAAAGTGTTTCTTCTTTTTTAGGTCTAACTCAGTGAGAAATGACCAATTTGTTGAAAAATAAGTGAAATAAAACATCAGAGTTTTACCTTAAGGATAGATGACTGTGTTGTAGTTGTTGACTCAACCGGTTGCAGGAAGTGGAATGACCTCACCAACGACCTCTCCAGCGGCTTCTCTAATGACCTTTCAAATGATGGAATGACCCTAGAGAGGCCCTGAGGAAGTGCTCTACACATCACTGATAGGTAGTTCATTTTCAATGACAAAATCTGTAAAAAAAATCACACATTAAATTGATGTGCATTAAATAGATTGTTTTATTCATTATGAAATGGTAGAGAATCTTTTTCTGAAGGAAATAAAACAAAAAGTATGAATTTGAGGGAAAAAGTGATGAAATTACACTATTGCAAATTTTACTGTGTCAGTGATATTTAAGCAGCAGTGATTTTTGCCCACTTTGATGCCTATTTTAGGCCAATTATATTGTTTCTGTCGACCAAATTCTTAGCTATTTCGGTAGTATATCTTCCATTTTAGTGAGTGAGTACAAGAAACTGCCCAATCAACAATTTCCCAATAAAGTGATCAGAAATTGGGAATTTGTTCAATTTCCCACAAATTTCAAAATAGGGACTAGAATAAACAATGCAGGCATTCTTGGCACTAAAATTACATTTCCTCTGTTCATTAGTTATGTTCCCAGGCTTTACACAAGAATTCCATTTTGATTTTTTACTCACACAAAAAAATTATCAGCTCATTCATGAGCACATATTAGACCCATCAGTTGACGTGTCTTGGACGAGTGATGTAATTTGCTTATTTTGGAATATCGGTAAAAATTGAACACTTTTGCTACTTTGAGCTCAATTTCAAGCTACTTTCAGTCCTAAAACCAATCAAAATCACCTCTACTTCTGTAATATATCTTCCATTCTATCAAATGAGACCAAGAAACCGAGAATACAACCATAAAAACTATACAAAAATACACCAAAAACATGGTCGCAGTTTTCTTTCTCATTATGCACTGTGTGCTGCAGGATTTTTATTATATGATGGACACTTACTGCACAGGCCTATTCTCTCATATCTAGGCCCAAATTTACCACTCACAGCTTATCTGAATGAGCTGAGCTCATGGTGTTGTACTATGGTACCGACTCTGAAGTGGTTAATTGATGTTTACCTGGAGTTTACCTGGAGAGAGTTCCAGGGGTCAATGCCCCCACGGCCCAGTTTGTGACCAGGCCTCCTGGTGGATCAGAGCCTGATCAACCAGGCTGTTACTGCTGGCTGCACGCAAACCAACGTACAAGCCACAGCCCGGCTGGTCAGGTACCAACTTTAGGTGCTTGTCCAGTGCCTGCTTGAAGACAGCCAGGGGTCTATTGGTAATCCCCCTTATGTATGCTGGGAGGCAGTTGAACAGTCTTGGGCCCCTGACACTTATTGTATGGTCTCTTAACGTGCTAGTGACACCCCTGCTTTTCATTGGGGGGATGTTGCATTGTCTGCCAAGTCTTTTGCTTTCGTAGTGAGTGATTTTCGTGTGTAAGTTCGGTACTAGTCCCTCTAGGATTTTCCAGGTGTATATAATTATGTATCTCTCCCGCCTGCATTCCAGGGAATACAGGTTCAGGAACTTCAAGCACTCCCAGTAATTGAGGTGTTTTATCTCCGTTATGCGCGCCGTGAAGGTTCTTTGTACATTTTCAAGGGCAGCAATTTCACCTGCCTTGAAAGGTGCTGTTAGTGTGCTGCAATATTCCAGCCTAGATAGAACAAGTGACCTGAAGAGTGTCATCATGGACTTGGCATCCCTAGTTTTGAAGGTTCTCATTATCCATCCTGTCATTTTTCTAGCAGCTGCGATTGATACAACGTTATGGTCCTGGAAGGTGAGATCCTCCGACATGATCACTCCCAAGTCTTTGACGTTGGTGTTTCGCTCTATTTTGTGGCCAGAATTTGTTTTGTACTCTGATGAAGTTTTAATTTCCTCATGTTTACCATATCTGAGTAATTGAAATTTCTCATCGTTGAACTTCATATTGTTTTCTGCAGCCCACTGAAAGATTTGGTTGATGTCCGCCTGGAGCCTTGCAGTGTCTGCAATGGAAGACACTGCCATGCAGATTTGGGTGTCATCTGCAAAAGAAGACATGGTGCTGTGGCTGACATCTTTGTCTATGTCAGGTATGAGGATGAGAAACAAAATGGGAGCGAGTACTGTGCCTTGTGGAACAGAGCTTTTCACCGTAACTGCCTCGAACTTTACTCTGTTGACTACTACTCTTTGTGTTCTGTTTGTGAGGAAATTATAGATCCATCGACCGACTTTTCCTGCTATTCCTTTAGCACGCATTTTGTGCGCTATTACGCCATGGTCACACTTGTCGAAGGCTTTTGCAAAGTCTGTATATATTACATCTGCATTCTTTTTGTCTTCTAGTGCATCTAGGACCTTGTAGTAGTGATCCAATAGTTGAGACAGACAGGAGATACCTGTTCTAAACCCATGTTGCCCTGGGTTGTGTAATTGATGGGTTTCTAGATGGGTGGCGATCTTGCTTCTTAGGACCCTTTCGAAGATTTTTATGATATGGGATGTTAGTGTCTGTTAAATTGTTAAATTGATGTGCATTAAACAGGTGTGCATTAAATAGTTTAATTATCCTAAGTTACTTATGGTTAATAATCCTGGATTATTAACCCTCATGATTAATAATCCTGGGTTACTGACCATCAGAGTTAATTACCCTGGGTTATTAACCATCAAGGATAATTATCCTGAGTTATTAAGCATCAAGGTTTATTATTCTGGGTTATTAAGCATCAAGGTTAATTGGCCTGGGTTATTAACCCCCAGGGTTAATAATCCTGGCTGGTGGTTTTGTCACTCCAAGTAAGTAAGTTGATTCAGGTATACACAAATACAGTTACATAGAATATCATACACAGCAGCATATGTGTAGACAACCTGGGATAACCCAAAAAAGTCAGAGTGACTTACAGTGGTCCCTCGCTTTTTGTAGTTCTCGGCAATCGTAAATTTCGCCAATAATAGGGGTATTTTCGTATAAACATGGACTTGCTTTTCATAGGTTGACTCGCGAATAGTAGTTCGTCCGGGACGCGTACGCACGGTGTGAGCCGGGGCGGCCTCCCTACCCAGCCAGTCTGGCATTGTTTACCAGTGAGTGAAGGTCCCCTCAAGTGCTCCTACGAAATATTTCATAATATTCCACTCATTTTAGTGCTTGCAATTACTAAGTAAGCTACCATGGCTCCAAAGAAAGCTCTTAGTGCCAAGCCTGTGGTAAAGAAGGTGAGAAATATGTACAGTGACAAAGTCTTGTACCATTTTAGGGAAGTGTTAAAGAGATGCCAGAAACAGAGCTCTCTCCACAGTTATTTTGTGAGACAGGACTCCAGTGACTCTCAAGGTGGTCCTAGTGACATTAAGAAACAGAGAAGAGAAGCAACCCCAGAAAAGCAAATGGTACCTGAGGTGTTGATGGAAGGGGATTCCCCTTCCAAACTATAAACAATCCACTCTCTCTCCTCCTCCAGTCTCCCATACACTAAGAAGAATCTCCAATAAAGGTAAGTGTTATGCTGTTAATGTTTCATTCATCATTTCCCATTGTATTGTTTATGTACTACATCTATATTTCATGTTAAAAAAATTTTTGTTTTAATACTTCTGGGTTTCAGGAACGGATTAATTGTATTTACATTATTTCTTATGGGGAAAATTGATTTGCAAATCGTAAATTTCGTTTATAGTAAAGGCTCCAGGAACGGATTAATTACGAAAAACGAGGGACCACTGTATTTCCATTGGGGTCGTTGTAATAATTATTATTTATATTTAAAAATTAAAAATAGGTAAGTATCTTAACTATGTAAAACAGTTACAATACAAGAAGATATACCAGGGGAGGTAAAATTAGTTATTTTTATACAAGAAATCACTCTCCTCCCTTTCTGTACCTTATTCATGAGGTACATTTTGGTTCTCTTCTTGAACTGGTTCATACTATGACAGACTTTGACATGTGCAGGTAGTCTGTTCCACTCTTTTATTGTTGTACAGAAAAATGTATTTGAAGCCTGACCACTGACTGGGTACTGCAAAGTTGCTCTCCCTTTCCCTGGTTCTGTAATTGTCCTGGTTCTCGACCTTAACAAACTTGGCAGTAAGATATTGGGGACACTGGTTGTGCGCAATTTTATAAACGTGATTTAACTTCAGTTGTTTTACTCTGTCTTCAACATCCAGTATATCCAGTTGTTGTAATTCATCCTGGCCTACATGTTCTCTTGGTCCAAGGTCCAGGGTGAATTCCACCATTTTGTTCTGGTTGATTTGTAGTCTATCAGTTTTTTTTGTCAAGGCCAAGTACCATGAAGAGCAAGCGTAGTCTATAATACATTATATGAGAGCAAGACATAGGGACCTGCGGGACTCAGTTTGTAGACACTGTGCTTGTCCGTAGAGAAACTTTAGTCAGACGTTCGCGTTCTTTACAACACTGTTACCTAATAGTTCTCCTGACATGTATGGGTCGAAGGGATTTCCCAGATATTTCCCCGAATTTATTGTAATAGGTTCCCTATTACTCTGGATATTAAAATTATCTACCCTTTCCAATTTATGTTTCGTACCAAAGAATATAACCTCCGTTCTCCCGATGTGTAATAATAACTTGTTGTCTACTAAGCCATTTGCTACATGACTCTAGTTCTAGTGACAGTACATTAGCAATATTTTGTGGGTCATTACTTGATACTAACAGACCGCTATCATGTAAGTACAGTAGAAGCTGCGCTAAACACTGATGGGCAGGTCATTCACATAGCACAGGAAAGGTCCCAGAATACTACCTTGAGGAACCCCACATGTTATTGGATTTTGATTCTGTTTCCTGTTGATCTGTTACAACTTAAACCAGTCAACAGAACCTATGCTGTGATTGACGGTATCGAAGGCCTTTCGCAAGTCTAAGGTCAACATACCTATGAGGTTCCTTAACAACATTTCAGTTGTCAGGTTGTCCAACATATTAATAAGGGAGATGTTGGTTCTATAAGATCTATAACCTGACTGCTAACTATGGAGAATGTTTTTGTCATTAAAATACTTAACAACTTGACAGTATACCGCCTTCTCTAGAATTTTGGACATCACAGTCCCTTACTCATCAGGGACTGATCACCTTAAACTATAGACCACCACACAGGACTGATGAAGCCACAAAATGGCAAAACATCGCCACAACAAACAGAAGCCACCAGAGAGATATCCATATACCTAGTCACCTTCCTCAGTCATTTCCCTATAATTCAGATATATTATACGGTATAATTACAGTATAATTACCCGGTTTGGGCGACGATTTGGCGACTTTTTGACGATTTTTGGCGAGGAAGTGAGGCTTTGTTGTTGTTATTGGTGTATAAGGCCACTTACACCGTGAGCCGTATCGTCCCTGGACGTCTCCTGTGTCCGGTAATTAATCATGGGTTAAATAGGGATAAAATAGGATTTTGTTGAGGTTTTTTAACCCCGGAGGGTTAGCTAGCTAGTATAACCCGGGGTTGGGAGGGTTAGCTAGCTAGGATAACCCAGGGTTGGGAGTGTTAGCCAGCTAGGATAACCCATGGTTGGGAGTGTTAGCCAGCTAGGATAACTCAGGATTGGGAGTGTTAGCCAGCTAGGATAACCCGGGGTTGGGAATGTTAGCCAGCTAGGATAACCCAGGGTTGGGAGTGTTAGCCAGCTAGGATAACCCATGGTTGGGAGTGTTAGCCAGCTAGGATAACCCGGGGTTGGGAGTGTTAGCCAGCTAGGATAACAGACGGTTGGGAGTGTTAGCCAGCTAGGATAGCCCAGGGTTGGGAGTGTTAGTGTGAAAATTTGTCTGGACCGCCTCCAAGTGAGTCGCCCACCCTGGCAAGCTCTGTTGACACCGAGCTCTGTGTGGCTTATAGGACAGATTTTCATAAATGACTGGTGTTGCAAGAAACCTCGCCTGCATGCACGTTTAAAGGACTAACTTACTTGGTGTTGCAGCATATATCCTGATCTTCAACCTCCCTAAGCTTAGCCCCTTTGGACTTCCCCTCAGAAACCATGTGCAACCAAGAGCCTTAATTCCTGCAATATTCAATCGATATTAGTGACCTGCCTGCACCTCAGAAATTCCTGTATCCAAGAGGGTGTGTATCCCCTAGTATAACTATGCAGAAACGGACACTAGCTTCTAGGTAGACAAGAGACAAAATCATGTACTGGTCATGAACTGCCGGCTGCACAAAGGCCACAGCTCAACTCACTCGCAATTTTCCCCAGACACTGGCCAGAAATCCTGAGAAAAAGTGGAGGTTTTGTCTTACTGTATGGGCCTGACGGAGGAAGTCATCTACAGTACATCGAGGTGCCTCTACCAGATTTCCCCAGATCTCATATGTGAAGACACGTGGGGGGCGCTGTCTGCTGATCACGGCACATATTGTCCAGATGGTGTCTAGTCTAAGAAGAAAGATCTGGCGTCTTCAAGACCCACGCCTCGTCGTTCAAACTTGGGCTGCCAGTTCTCCCTAGCTAACTTAACCTAGTGTTTGCCTACATTATCGACCTATTACTACCTATGTTAAGGTCTTAGGTCTACATTATTATCTACAGTTGCCTCAATAATCCTAATATTAGTGTACTAACAGTATAAACTACCTACTTCTTCCCTGAAGGGTAAATCTATAAATTAAGTAGTACCTTCCATCCACCTACGTCAATCCGGGAGAGTGTGTTTGTGTTTTTGGGTGGGTGTAAGGGCCCTTGAACGGTGTGTTTTTCCCCGTTGGGACTTCTCGGACTGAATAAGTTCCAACATCCTCCTGCCGGCGAAGGTAGGTACTAAGTCTAAATCAAGTTCACCTTCCGCGAGCCCCCACCGCGGACCCTGGACATGAGTGCCGTCTGGCCACTCTCATCGAGCAGACTCCGGTCTAACTTCAACTGTCCAGTTTCCCCTGTGTGGACCTCTGGGGGTGTAAACTTGTTGGTTCCGGTGGTCTTAGCACCCTTTCCTTTAACTTTAACATCTTTCGTATGTCTAGCCTTGACTGAGTGGCTCCGTACTTTCCCACCCAGTGGCCCACATGCCCTGGTAGCCTTTCCTCCCACTGATACGAGGTTCCCTGGATTTAATGGCAATCTATCTCCCTCTTTACGTACCCTCTAAAAGTGTTTTCCCAAGGTGGCCGAGTGTTCGTCACTCCCTACCTGGTTCAGCTTTCCTGGCGGTTCATCGTGTATACTGGTACTCATTATCACTACTCCCCCAGCTATCATGGAGACAGCTTCTTCTCTATCTGGCGTGGCAGGGAATTCAGGTGGAATCCTGCCGCCTATAATGTATCCTACTGGGGATCTGTATAAACCAATTCCTTCCCCAAACATCCGTCGTGTAGACAGGAAGTCATCTATCTGATTGGCTCCCACCAGGATACCTACATTTCTGATTGTGTGAGTGGTAATTCCCTGGTCTGCCAGCTTCACGTCAAGGTCTTCCAATCGCTTAGCTGCTGCAGCAAGACCTCTCGCTGTAATTGCCGTGGGTAACGTCTCTACCACCAAGGCTGTAATGTCTCTGCGATGTCCACCTAATTTGACTGTGACATCCACCACATCATAAGATTTGGGTGGGGCCTGACCTTGTGGCCTTCAACTTTAATTGAGCCACCAACTTCTTTGTTATCAAGGATACTTGTGCTCCAAAGTCAAAGAATAATTGGGCTGTTTCGGAGCTGTGCCCATTCACAACCTTTGCCATGACTGTAGGTAGGGCAGCACCTCCGTGATTCTCACTCGGATTAGACTTCACTCCCACTAATCACGCTGGCTACCATTTCAGGCTCAGACTCACTTTCTATCTCTACCTGAGAGATATCCCTACTAGCCTGGGGTTCCCTTAAATTATTGGGACATAGTGCAGTATGGTGCTTACCTTTGCAACAGACTCGACACTCACTGAGCTGGGTGCCACAGTCTCTCGCAAAGTGTTCCCCACAACACTTGAAGCAGAGTCTCAACTCCCTTAGTCTCTGTTGCCTACTGATCAGTGTTATATACTCCGAGCAACTCGTGCTAGCGTGTTCGCCTTCGCAGAACATGTATATTCTGGCATGAGTGCCTCTGAGGTTCTGCTTAGAGGTTCTTACCTTAGACACCTCTGTACCATAGTACACTCCAACGTTAGTCGTATGAGCTTTAGACTGATCTCTCGAGATCTTTGAGTAACTGTCTGGGATTTTATGTGGTGATGGTGGTGACTCTTCTCTCACACCTATACTCAAATGAGAAACGAGATCTCCCAACCCCTCAACAATTTGTATCGTGAACCTATTCGTCCGATATTTTAGGTGTAACTCATGCACTGTAGTGCCAGCCAGTTTCCTCTGAATCACCTGACTGATGAACCATTCTGACTTACCCCAATCATGTAAATCTTTAAGACTATTTGTCAAACTCATAACTTCGATTCGGAATTTCTCTAGGCTCTGACGGTCATGGCGACAAGCCTCTAGATCCAACAACCGATAAAGTATAGCTACCTTTATCTCCTCAGTGTTGCCAAACATGTCCTTTAATTGGTCATTGGCATGTTGGTAATTAGTGTCAGTGGTTTGGTAATGCCGGACCAAGTCCAAGGCTTTACCCTTGAGCTGTGACCGTAAATACTGTAATTTGACGGCATCTGACAAATCGTCTCTGTCATCTATCTGGGCTTTAAACTGATCCCAGAAAGCAATGTACTCTGTTAAGGTTCCGTCGAACGTTGGTAAATTCAACTGGGACAATCTGGGCAACACATTAACAGGTGTGCTGTTGTTCGTGTTCCTTGAAACATTTGCTGCCCCTGCTGTACCGGCCTTCAAAGTCTTTATTAACTGCCTGCAGAGTCTCATCTCTGCTTTACACTCTGCCCTTCGTTCGTCATAGTCCGTCCGTGCTACTTCAACTGTATATTCAGACTCACCTGTAGTATAGGCCTCTGTCTCATAAAGGATAAATGATCTCTCAAAGGCCTCCAGCCTTTGCTCCAAAGGTTTCAGGAAACTCTCATGTTCCTCACAGTCTACATCCTGATCTTGCCTGGCCATATGACACTCCTCACATGCTTTGCTCAGGCGCCCCTTATAGGCTCCCATAGACCGCTTTAATTGACTTAGAGCTGAGACAGCTGGTACTTCATCTTCACCTACCATAGTCGCGGTTTTGTTAAGATTACGGTACTAATTTGTACTTCAATTAGCCCACCCCACAGCACGAACGGTATTAGGCAAGAATGAACGAGTCTCAAGGCTTCTCAACAAGCTTAACAACTCCCTTTATTATACTGACTCTACTCTGAATCAAAAATGTACACTGTTAGCTCTCAAATCCCAATCGAAATGTGTATCGATGTGAAAGCTTAACCTAGCAATTTCCTGTACAATGTCAGCAAATAATTACAGGACTTAACCTAGTCTCAGGTACAATTCACAAATCCCACATTTAAATGAGTCAAAGACAATGAAAATCACACAATAAAAACGCAGTATACAAATTAAAAAATCACTTGGTTAGCACAAATAAATTCAACAATTCAACTTGTGAAACAGTAAATGAATAATGTATGTAAACAGCTTGGCCTAACTGTGCCCAGCTTACTCAGTCTAGCGTGGATGGTTGGATAAGGTAAATTCTAACCTAACTAGTGTGCTATAACTTAAACCTGGCTTTAGAACTAACTGTAAATAATAACTAGGTTAAATCTGACCTAGCTACTATAACTGTTGTAAATATTGCACAAGCCTAGCCTAACTGTGGCTACCTTGCAAATCCACTGTAAGTAATTAACACGTGTCCTACTCTGGATTACTTGTAATCGCTGTAAATAATTAAATTCACAAGCTTCTCTAGCCTACCTGGCCTGCCTGTAAATTACTGCAAATAACAACTTCTGTGTACAGTCAGTTTGGCCTAGCCTCTGTGTAACTCTGGGCCTAGGTGTACTAACTTAACCTAACTCTTAAACTGGTTCCTAACTGTGGCCTAGCTATGCTAATTTTAACCTAGCTATTCCACATCACGGTTACGAAGGACCACTTGTGAAAATTTTTCTGGACTGCCTCTAAGTGAGTCGCCTTCCCTGGCAAGCTCAGTTGACACCGAGCTCTGAGGTGGGTACCTCAGCCTCACAAGTGGCTTATAGGACAGATTTTCATAAATGACTGGTGTTGCAAGAAACCTCGCCTGCATGCACATTTAAAGGACTAACTTACTTGGTGTTGCAGCATATATCCTGATCTTCAACCTCCCTAAGCTTAGCCCCTTTGGACTTCCCCTCAGAAACCATGTGCAACCAAGAGCCTTAATTCCTGCAATATTCAATCGATATTAGTGACCTGCCTGCACCTCAGAAATTCCTGTATCCATGAGGGCGTGTATCCCCTAGTATAACTATG